GGGCGGTAGGCGGGAGGCCCCTCTCCTGAGTGCGGAGCCCCTGTCTTAGAAAGGAGGCGGCCCAGGAGGAACACTAGGAGGCAGCGCCAGGACCACGCTGACAGCTGTGTGGTGAGCAGCGATGACGAAGAGCTGAGCAGGGACAGGGACGTGTATGTGACCACGCACACTCCCAGGAACGCCAGGGAAGAGACATCGCCGGGGCTCAGGTACCTGCATGCCCACCCGCTTGCTGTTGCTGCCAACTTGGGGCCAGGCCCTCACACCAGGAAGCCTCTGGGCCCTGGAGTGGGATCCTCACCCCCTCCGTTTCCCAGTGTGAGGGGTTGTTGTTGGAAACACCGGGCCTTCAGCCAGTGCTGTGAGCCGGTGGCCCGGCAGAGCTGTTGAACATCTGCCTGGCGGCTGCCTGCACATAACACTATTGAGGCCAGGCACCAGCAGGCTGGGGTGCTAGGTGCAGGCCCTGCCCCAGGCGGGGTGAAGGGGCAGAGGGGGTGTGGGGTGGACACGGTGACTCAGGTTGTCTGCACCTTCTCCCCTTTTCTTGTGGCCCCATTAACCCCTTCGGGTGGCCAGCCCTCCTGTGAGTCCCTGGGCCCTCGCTAAGGCAGGGTCAGAGGAGGCTCTTGGAGGGAAAGGCTGCACACAGGAGGTCCTCTGGCGCGAGGAGTCCTATGTCGGCGCTTGCTCGGCACTGACATGAGGCACTGTGTTCTAGGCCCTCCGGCACGGTCAGTTGTCCGATCTGCATGGATGGATACTCAGAGGTAAGCACACCAGCTGTGACCTCCTGCTCAGCTTCCACACTTCAGTGAGAGAGATGAGCAAGGACCCTCCCATTAGGTGGGATTTGAAGTCTTCCTTCAGTCCTGCCTGGACTGGCACATGGCTCGTCATACATGTGTGTGCAGGGAGAATGTGCCAGTGTGTGGGCCTACAGCCTTCTACTCTGGCCCTGTGTTCCTGCGCCACCTGTGCAGCTGAGGCAGTCTGTGTTTTCCCTGTCCTGGCCCAGGCAGAAGGCCCCGTGTTCACTGTGGCCCCTGAGCCTGCGCACAGCCCCACCTGTGCCCACACAGCAACCCTGACCTTTCCAGGCCTGTGGGTTCTGGTGCCCGGGTTCCCCTTGGGCTGCTGCCGGGAGCCTGGCTGCCAGGCGTCGAGAGTTCTGCAGCCCATTGCCCTGCCCCCCCTGTGCCTGCCCTTCCCTCGCCCATCACTGCCCAGGTGGTGGCAGTGGGACTCCCTGGGAGCTGCTGCTCTGGGACAGACACACGTGAAGGTGTTCCTTTTTGTTTTCTAGATTGTGCAGAATGGGCGTGTCATTGTCTCTACAGAGTGTGGCCACGTCTTCTGCAGCCAGTGCCTCCGAGATTCCCTCAAGAACGCCAACACTTGCCCGACCTGCAGGAAGAAGATGAGCCACAAACGCTATCACCCCATTTATATCTGATGCGCTGCGAGCTGCCTCGGAGAAGGACGGACAGTGACATCCCCGCGGGCTCCTCACGCGGCCTTCGTGGGTTCTCTGCCTCCAATTTCCTGAGCTCAAAAGACTTTAAACCAAGGCCTGATATGTAGACTGCTCCTTATTTCCAGCCCTCTGAGGTCCTCTCGTTACCTCCAGCTTGATGCCTCAGCCGGAGCCACAGCCCTGCCGGCCGGGTGTGGCCTGCTCCCCTGGCGGCCTGGTTCCAGGGCAGGCGAGGAGCTGAGCGCCTTGAAGTTGAGAAGCAGGTTCCAGCCTCTCCGGGACCTGCACGTTTGCCAAGATGCTCCCCCGCGTGGGAGGTTTGCGCAGCTTCCCCCAAGTGTTGTCGGGGAGCCGGCCCTGGTCAGGGCATGAGCCAGTCCACCCAGCTCCTGCGGGCATGCTACCTCACCCGGCCTCTGCCCGCACAGTGACCGAGCCGACAGCCCCGGAGGACCAACCACTGGGCTCCTTCCCGACCTTCGCAGTGACAGGCAGGGATTTCTGCAGGGCCATGCCCAGGCCTCTGAGGATGAAACGTGCAATAAAGCCCGTCCACCGCCGCCTCCTCGCAGCCCAGGAGATGCAGCACCGTGAGTGTCCCTCAGGCCCCGCCCTGTCCTGTCACCCCGTTCTCAGGAACTGACCAGGCCCCAGGGTTCCCCTCCTGGCGCGGGCCAGGCACGGTACACAGGGCAGGCCTGTACTCGGTGTCCGCTCCTTTCTGATAAAATCCGTCCTCGTCACCATATGCCCGTTGGTCCTCAGTCCCCGCTGCCCACGGTCTCCTCAAGTATGGACACCGGAAGGCGGTGCAGTATTTGTGGCCTTATCAGCCCATGTCCAGCTGTTGCCCAAGCCGCAGCCACCCCGTGTCTCAGAGCGTGGCCCACCTGACGAGCTGGGTCCTGCCTTGGCCTTCTCACCACCCCACCAACCCACCATTTCAGAAGCTGATCCTCTGGTCATCTGGACTGTGGCCCTCTGCAGTTCTGGTTGGCAAAGTTCTGTGGCCTCTCCTCACCAAGGGGCAGATAACACCCCCTGCCCACTCTGCAGGCGTGGGAGCCTCTGGTTTCCAGGTGGCAGCACTGCTCCTAACGCACAGGGCTGAGGGGTGACGGGAGTGCCAGCCTGCCCCACCTCCACACCCTCCTCACAGGCCTCAAGCCAGACAGCAGCCTCTGCGTGTGGAGCATCGGCAGGGGGAGCGGCCCTGGCTTTGCAGCAATAACTGGCCTTCAGTTCCCTGGAAGGAGCAGGGACTTGGCACAGTTCACTTTAACGGGGCTGAAGGAGTGTCCCTCTTCTGTGAAAGTTTTATTCTTCATTCTGCCTTTGTAGCTGTTTGGCTCACTTCCAATTAGTCTGTTTTAATGAAAGGAATAATGTTCTACTTGGAGGTGAGGAGGCAGGACATGGTTCCCACAGCGGCTGTGCCGTGTCTGCCCTCCGACCGGACATGGTTGCCGTCGCGTTTCTTCCGGGCTGCGTGGGAGCGTCTCCTGTGACCTGACATTACTAGCCTCCAGGAGCCGGGATGACCACACAGCCCAAGCCCTGCTTTACATTTGAGAACAAACGACTGATCATGAAAGCTGTGCTTCTACATTAAATTGGGGGGATGTTAAGTTTCTACTGTCAGAAACTACAAAATAGGAAAAGGTCGATATGAAAACCCCTCCTTCTCAGTGTACATAGTCCAAATCTTTCTTTGTTACGTTTAAACTTTACCCATAATGTCAGTCTGTTTCGGACCTCTGCTGGTGTTACAGATGGAAATAAAACCAGGAATTTGAACCAGGTAGCTTCTTGTGTATTTCTTTGCTCTTTGGGACCAATTCTTCTCCTTTTGCCCAAGGTGTGTGATTCCCGTCTGCCTCAAGTGTAGTGTGTTTCGCACCCCTGTGTGCGAGGAAGTTGCTTACCTGGCTGCACACTCCGATGCCAGCAGGCGCCAGGCCACTCCTGAGCCCCCGGGACTCGAGCCACAGTCCAACCCTGGACCCTAGTCGAGCCGACGCTTTGGCCCAGAAGTGGGGTCAGGCTCGCTGCAGTTTGGCCAGTGGGCGTGCAGACACACAACTTGCCCTCCATGTGAGTGTGGTGTGCCGATTCGATTTTTTAAAAAATACTTGAGAACTGTTCGCAGTTTTTAAAATCAGTTCTGTTAAGTTACAGGTTTCAGAGGATTCATACATCTCATCTCTTTACAAGTTTTTGGCATAAAAGGTTTCATAAAATATAGTTAATGCATCTTTTTATCACTAATGTTAATTTATGCCTTTTATTTTTTATTTTTAATCCTCACCCAAGGATATTTTTTTCCATTGATTTTTGAGAAAGCGTGAAAGAGAAGAGGCGGAGGGGAGAGAGACAGAGAGAATCGACTGGTTGTCTCCTACACACACCCCAACTCAGGGGCTGGGATGTGAACCTGCAACCGAAGTACATGCCCTTGACCAGCAATCAAACCTGCAACCCTTCTGTCCTGGGGCTAGCGCTGTAACCACTGAGCAACTGGCCAGGGCTCCTTTTATTTGTAACTAGAAGCCCGATGCATGAAAATTCATGCACTGGAGGGGGGGGTCCCTCAGCCTGGCCTGCCCCCTCTCACAGTCTGGGAGCCCTCAGGGGCGGGAGGCAACCCGGTGATCAGGGGAAGGTGATGCCTCATCACACCTCTGCTGCTGCCACTGCCGGCAGTGTAAGCCTCGGTGGCCCTGGTTACCTGAGCCTTGGGCGGCCCTGGGCCGCTGCGGGGCTGAGGGAATTGGGGGACTCCAGAGGCAGGCACGCGGA